AGTCGTAGCAGCAGTAGCAGCAGCAGGAATAGCAGTAGCAGTAGCAGCAGCAGCAGTAGCAGTAGCAGTAGCAGTGGCAGTAGCAGTACTTCAACCCTAAGCTGGCTTGAGGAAGAAAACTTGCAGCGCCTTGCAGCGCGTACGTATGCTTTGCGGATTTCGACGGATCGAAGACGGGAAGCTGGAAGTCGTCAGCTATCAGCTGCCAAGTGCTACGGCGGAAGCTTCCGTCGATTCGCCTGGTGCCACTGGTGGCAACCCAACAACGGACATGGAATTGGTGCGCTCGGCCGTCCAGGCGGCCGCCGATGCGATCGCGGCCCGCTGCACTGACAATCACAAAATGGCCCAAGCCTGCGTGAAGCAGAACCTTGCAACTTGCCATCATCTTCCACGGCACTGAGAGGCCGCGCTGGCTGAGAGGCTTGAACAGTAGCAGTAGCAGTAGCAGTAGCATTAGTAGTAGTTTCGTAGTAGTAGTAGTAGTAGTAGTAGTAGTAGTAGTGGTGGTAGTAGTATTGGTACAAGCCGCGTCTTGTTGTAATCTCTGATAAGCAAAGAAACCGCCATTACCAACTATCGCTGGTAACAGCAACATCTGAATACTGATCGAACATTTCCTGGCATGGTCGCGATTCAATCTCAGACTTCTGCCTTTGGATGAGGTGGGGCAGCACCCGCAGGAGATTGGATCCCTGCGGGAGAAGCAGGAGGCCCTAGCTTGAGTTACCACCTATCTATTCGTTCGTCCGTCCGTTTGTCCATTTATTATATATGAGTGTGTGTATATATATACATATATAGATGTATGCTGCGTCCCCAAACACAGAAACCAGACTTCTCACATGTTTTGATGCCACGTGGCCTGACTCAGGGTCTTCGAAACCCTACACATGTCGATGTTTGTTTCAATGTAGAGACATTTCTTTGCACATTGTGATGACGAGTTCGACGATGATGATGAAAACGATGACGATGACGATGATTGACGACGACGGTGACCGGTGAACAGCAGCACAGGCAACATGTGTTGCATGCAGTGCTACAGTGTTACGTATGTTGTGGAGAGACAGGTGTTGCGTGTGTTGCAAAGACACAGGTTAGTGTGCGAACAAGACGGATTTGATGCAGATTCGGAAGAGCTGGTTCTTGAAGCAGACGACAGTGTCCAGATGCGGATCGTGTACCTTGTGGAAAGCTCAGAGAAGGTGTGTTGAAGCAGACGACAACACTAGCAGGGATGCGTCCCAACGAACGTGTGTGCGGAAACAAGCTGCAGTGTCTATGTCAGTTTATGTGCAATGGAATGATCCATGTGTACGGGCGGATACGCTTGATTGAATCGCGACAAAACTTGCACTGGCCCATCCCTTCGCCCCACGCTGGGCAAATGAGATGTATGTATTGATGGATGGATGCATGTATGTATTTGTGTGCATGTATGCGTACGTATGCGTACGCATATGTGTGTGCATGTGTCCATAAGAGTGCAGATTTTCTAGTACAGGTTCTGAGTTCTACAGCCATCTCCGTCCTTCAGAAGCTCTCATCTGTTGTCTGGCCCACCACCCGTTGTTGGGTTGTTCTCCACTTCGAAAACCGTCGCTCTACCGTCACAGGCACAGCCCCGCAGTTCTGAACCCTGGGATCCTCAAGCCAAGTTGGTGTTGGAGCTTCCTCTGCCGAAGGCCGTGCCTTGAATCGCAAAGTTCTGGAAACAAGAATCAATTATGTTGGAGATTGGGATCGCCGGGCTTCCCGGGCTCTCCGGCGCCCTTCGCAGGCCGCAAGGCGAAAGGGTGTCGAAGCCGAAGTCGCTGCGGCTGCGGAGAGGCAGAGGGCGGAGGCCAGGCGGTGACTTTCGCGTGCGGCTTTCCGGACTCGGGTTCCGGGTTCAGAGATTTCGGGATCCAGGACAAGGGTTTCTGCTTAGCGGTTGGTGGGTGTTACTTGCCTGAGTCACTGTTGATGGTCGTGGTTGCTGTTACTGTTTCTCCTGCCACAACCTCTGATATTGACGTGCCACATGCATGGCATGCACCGCTAAAGGAGCAGCAACACTCGCTGAAGCATGCACCGTGTGGAGCGAACGATTGTCTGTGAAGTAGTTTGTCTTGTTGAGCTCTTGGACGGAAAGTTATCGACAAACATGGTGGGGATTGAGATTGAGAGCTTTGCGCGAGGTTCCCTCGCTATGTTGTTTGCTGAACGATCGAGCCGGGCCATCACCTATGATTTTGTGTGGTTGCCTTTGCTGTCCTTCTTGTGCTGCTTGTCCGTTTGCACGGCTTGCGGTGGTTGTAAACGAAAGCCAAGGCCTGTCAGCCTTCGGTTCCCTCTGAGATCTAAGCCGAAACGAGGAGTCCAGGAGTGTCATCCCTTTGTACAAGAAGCAGCGGGAGGCAGTCCTCGGTTCTCCATTGCCTCATGGACGGTTGCTGTAAGGTCGTGCGGAGCAGTGTAGTGTCACGTACTCATGTACTGTATTGGAAGGAGGCAGTTGGTCGTTTCCTTGGATTGATATCCTGTATTGTGCAGGGTTAATAATGATAACATGATGATACGATGATGCTGACCATGATGTTGTTCGTTTATCTGTTATGGCTGCCGAGTGACTTGCACAGCTTGGCTCCAGCGGGGCACAGGACGAGTTACATGCCACCGCTTGGTATTTAACACCGGTGGATCTTGCTAGTTAACACTATAGGATTTCGATGAACTTTGCTTGTACATCCTAAGGAATCTCTCGCTGCTGGGTTGCTAGTTTGGTACAGAAGGCATGGAAGCCTTAAGAGCAGAAGTATCAGGGTTCAGGTTGGACTTAGGGTTAACTGGGGTTGCAAAAATGACAGGGTTTCATGAACGTCATAAATGTCTTCACATGAATGTATTGATTGTTGCTTAGCAAAAGGGTGGCTCACCGGAACAGGAAGAGTAGTGTTAATGTTTCAACTTCCAACAGCATCAAGTTTACTTGCCTGTCATTCGTGATGTTGTAATGCTACTCATAAACGATATTGTAGATCGTGTCACTACGGTCAGCAGCGCAACAAGCAGAATCACCCTATCCACAATGCGAGGAGAAGTAAACGCTCTTGCATTTGCACTCGTTCAGGCATGTCGCCAATATGCTAGAAGCACTAGAAAATCGCTTTTGTTTGGCTACGAACGGACATGTAGTATAGATGACGACAAGGCGAGGGCTATCAAGACCACGAGCAATGTCGGCAATACTGAGTTTACCATCAATGTCCGCATGTTGTCACGGGATAGTATCATCTGTGATTAGCAGGTGCTACTGACAAGCACAATAGTAGGTACGAGCATAGCGAGACGCTGAACCTGGAGATGTCTGTCTCCTGCGTAGGAGATCTTGGAAGAGATCCGCGACGTCATCATACAGGTCCATTCTTGAGGGTTGAGGTTACATGGAAAGTGTGTGCCCTGACTCGACGCATTGCTATGCATCGCTCACAGAAAGTTCTGTTTTGTCTGGCTCAAGCTCTTCGGGACGGGGGCCCTTAGACTTGGCCTGCGAGGACGACCTGGCGAAGCAGGAACTTGAGAAGGTTCGGCATCTCTGTGCGACTGTCTCCTCCTGTAGTTCGGAGTTCCTTTTGAGGTTCCCATGGAAATGAATGGGCCCCCAGTCTGCCGGAACCTGCCGTAGGAATTTGCTTTGTGCAAGGTTCAGGGGACTCTCCTTGCAAAGCAGCACAAGGACAGCTGTGCCAGGATGTAGCAGATGTGTAGGTTGTCAAGACTGGGCTTGCTTTTCAAGGTGCTCAAATCCGATTTTGGAAGTGCTCCGCAAGTTTCTCAGAACCAACCTGCCATGTTGAAGACCCCACGTTTTGTGCACACTTTATCAGGGATTGCTTTAATGCTGCCGAAAGATGCGGATCTGCAAAGGCGATGCAAGAAGCTGCTTCACATCTTCACTATGTGACAAGGGTAGCTTGCATTACGTGTAGTCAGTGGCCTTTGCTGTGTTGATTGGGCTGGGTTTCGAACAGGCTTTTGATAATCCTGAAAGCCCCAGTGAATGCCTTACAAGCCGTTGACACTTTGTTTTGCATCTTTGCTTGCTACTCGCCGTTTATCATGTCCGAGAGCTAGGCTCCAAATCGATATCAGCACATGCCCATGAGAAGCATTGGGTTTGATACCATCAGTGACTTGGGATGTGTTGTGATTTAGTGTCCGCCCTCACGGCATGTCTGCCAACGGATTTGCGATATAGTAGCTTCGGCGTGGATGATTTCTGAACAGTTATCCCCGGCCTTGATCAGGACTTGACCTTGAACTTCACCAGCTCCGGCGTGAGGCTTGGAGGTAGCTAGCTTTGCGGCTCTTGGCCTTCTTCCCATGTAAACATGTCTCACCAATGGCAAGTCTGGCCGATAACAGAGTACGGCAATCAAGGCCCCACGATAGTGCAGGCCTAGTAGCAGTTCCGAACTTGTCATGCAAGCCTAATTTGTTTCGCTGGCTTCCTTTGTGGTTTGTTGGCGTGTACAGACGAATTTGCAAATGAGACGCTGGTGGCCCAGCATAGTTTTTTGTATCCTGACAAAACCTAGAAAGCAGGCGGCCTGCTCAAAATGTGGTCTAAGCATCACCAAGCCAAGGTATCTCTCCTTTAAGATTCGAGTTTCTGCTCAGTGTATGGCGTCTCTCTCTCTCTCTCTCTGTGTCTCTCTCTCTGTCTCTCTCTCTCTCTCTCCCTTCCTGTGCTTTTGCACGTGTTGTGTGACATCTGGCGTTGGTAGCGCGCCTCGGGCTTGCAGCTCATATGCACCAGTCATGTGACGCATGCAGTACTAGAGTACAAAGTGCGCATGATATTCTGCAGCACGTGTAAGTCTACGTGCAACACTGTATAGTACGAGATGGCCTGGTATAGTACCAGGCCGTGCTGGGCCCCCAGCTCAGAGCATACGGAGGAACTCTACGGCATTCGAGCCTTGGCGGCGTAGCGCGCATGAGCCATGGAGGAGAGTTCTTGCGAGTGGTGGAGATTTTGGTCGTGGGGAGAGCTGTTACAAGCGTGAGAAGTTGGTGTTTCGGACGATGCAGGAGTCGTCGATGCAGCTCCGGGCTTCACAGGCAAAGTGCCACAGGGCCGGCGTGCTTTTCCACTTTGTGCCGCGCCCCTGCCATGACCCCACTCCGTGCCGGGGCGCAGATGGACAATTCTTATCCTGGACCTTCTGGTGCATGCAGATCCTTGGAGTAAGTGCAGTCCTGTGCAGGCCACGACTGACAAGGAGCACACCAAGTTGAAGATCGAGGCTGCACTGAGATTTGCTGACGACGATCATGATGTGTCTTTGCAGAAAGCGTACCTTTGACTTTGGCACTTGCTCAGTGGCTCTTCGCTTGAAAGAGTTAAAGAACATGAAAAAAGAAACCCCAGGGCCCTGCACCCAAAAAGGAACACAGTTCGGCAGGCTCTGAAGCGGACCCTGGACAGTCTGAGGCTGAGAGCGGGAGGAGAGGTCATGTAAGCGTGTTTTCGTCTCCCGCCGTCAATCCGCCGTTCCTGCCTACCGCCTTCCTGCTCAAAAACAAGAGGAACACCTTAACCACAGGCCAGAGACCCTAGAGGCCCTAGATCCTGAACCCTACCGGGCGACCTGACTTCACGGCCCCCGCTGTCCTTGCTTCAAACTCGAAGCCCAGGCCACCTGCTGCGACTGAACGCGATTCTGAATGGTGTGGGACCAAGTTAAGGGATACAGGGACAAGGTACGTACTAGTATCGAAGTCAAAGTGCGTTATTTTTCTGCCTCAATATTAGACAAGTATATGGACTGTGAGATTCTTCTCCGACTTGCCACGGCGGGTCCCCCAAAGCACCAAAGCCATTAACCCTGAAGCTCCGGAGCCGTCTCCTTCTGTCACCTTCTGTCTTCGTTCTGGCTGCGTGTCTGGTTCTTCATGCTGTTTTTCTTATTCTTCCTCCTCCTCCTCCTCCGCTTATCTCGTCTTCTTTTTACCGATTTCGTTGCTCACGTTCCATTACTGCTTATTGGGTCTTCATTTCAGCTCGCATTGGTAGGCCTAGTCTAGCTTCGCCCCATTCTTGGTTAGATGCGTATCCTCAGCGAGACGACGCCAGCTCCCCAACTGCACGAGACGACTACTCGTAGGGCTGCAAGTTCCTCCTGGTCTCGTTTAAGTTTTGGGGGAAAGGACTTTGTGAGCATGGTTCGTCGCCGAAGGAAGCCATTGTCCCCCTGTCGTTTGTCAGACGGAAATATGTTTGAAAGCCGTCCGGGAGTTGTCGTCTTCACCGCGATTCCGTGAGCGCTCTGTAGATCAGATCCCTGACATTGCGTCCGATCTTTGCTGGACTTGTTGGGGGCCTCGGCGGGTGTACCTTGTCCAACTCTGGTTTGCAGATATTTCCTGGCTCTGGCTAGTACACGTGCCGGTGGACCCGAAGCTAGGATGCCGCACATGAAGACCTTCGGGCCTTCGGGCTGTTTCTGCTCATAGGCCTAATCAAAACTGAAGCATTGATTGCATTGAAGGCTCAAGTGCATCTTTTCGTAGGAGCCCCTGTCAGCTCCAAGTCGAATGCAGGGCCGGACGTCAACTTTGATCGCCTGGCATCCGCAATCCAGGCAGCTGCGGATGAATGATCTCGGAGCACCAGTACCGACAACGCACTAGACATAGTATACCACGCAGACTAGTGCTGATCGCACGGGGCCCGAGGATTTTGTCCACGGATTCGGGATGTTTTCGAGTGCTGAGAGTGGATGGTCGCGACGCAACCGCATAGGTGTTTGGGGGTTGGGCTTCGGCTTTTGGCATTTTGTTGTTCCATGACCTCTCAGTTGTGATGGTGATCCTTCGGCGAACCGAGAAGCAAGTAGCTAGCCAAGGTTCTTTTCTACTTGGGTCCAAGAGGGCGGAGTCAGTGTGCGAACTTGAAGCAAGAAATCCCCTTAACTTCACGAAAGCTTTCCATCAGACAGCCAACCGACACCCCCAAACCCTACATGTCTAAACGCCCGGACATGTGTTTTTCGGTAGTAGCCCGGGCAGACCTCGCCTTTCTGACGGGTGGCAAATTGGGGCTTGAACTTGAACCAGAGAGTCTTTATTGCCTATAATGGGGGGTTGCGTTCGTTTCATTTCGTCATGGTCACTCTGCCTCCTGACCCCACTCGGATGAATTCAGGCCCAAGCCTTAAACCCTTAAGCTTAAAGGAATCCCATGCTTTTTAGGTATTTTTTTTGTTTTTTTTGTTTTGTGTGTGGTCCCGTAGCTCTGGTCCACCGGTCCCCTGGTCCTCTGTTTTCTGGGTCCTCTGGTAATGATGAACCGGAATTGCGAATTGGTCTCAGTTGTTCGTGTTGTTTGTTGTGTTCTAAATTTCAAGAGGTTTCGCCAAATGACGGTGTGTGCTTAGGATGTATGATGAACCGGAATCGCCAAATGAGGGGGCGTGTTGAAGACATATGATGAACCCGAATCGCCAAATGATAGGGCAGTTCAAGATATATGATGGACTGGAATCGCCACATGATGGGGCGTGAATCGCCAAATGAGGGGGCGTGCTTAGGATGTATGTTGAACCGGAATCGCCGAGTGAGGGGGCGTGTTTAAGATATATGTTGAGCCGGAATCGCCACATGAGTTGGCGGTTTAAGATTAAAGGGGCGTGTTTCAGACATGTGATGATCCGGACTCGCCAAATGCCGGGGCGTGCTTAGGATGTATGTGCAACCGAAAATGCCAAATGAGGGGGCGTGTCGGAATGGCCAAATGAGGGGCATGTTCAAGATATATGATGATCCGGAATCGCCAAATGAGGGAGCGTCATTAAGAATAAGATATATGATGATCCGGATTCGCCTGTGTTTGCAAAGGGGGCCCTCAACCCTTCCCCCCACTTTTTTTAAGCAAAGCAAGGTCGCCTTAAAGCATATGATTTTTTTGGAAACCCATCACGTGAGTGTTGTTTCGAGCCGTGCAAGCTTGCTTCAAAGCCTTGGAGTCTTTCTTGAAACCCATAATGCCAGCATTCTGTTTGCAATTGGGAGGGCTGCCTCCCCCCTCCCCCCCCACTCCACTACTATTTTTAGCCGTGCAAGCTTTGTTCAAAGCATGTGAGTGTTTTTCAATCCCATCGTGTGGGCATCCTGTTTGCAATGCGGGGGGGCTGCAACGCCCCCAACACCCCCCCCCGCTCTGTTAAGCAGTGCAAGCTTGCTTCAAAGTTCAAAGTACATGAGCTTCCCCTTAATTGAAACCCATCATGCGATCATTGTGTTTGCTGCGCCGCTGATGAACATATCGGAAAATCGAGAGATAGATGATGCGACGTTATCGCCACATGATGGGGCGTGAATCGCCACATGAACCGGCGTGATGAGGATGTATGTTGAACCGGAATCGCCGAATGAGTGGGCGTGTTTAAGATATACGTTGAGCCGGAATCGCCAAATGAGAGGGCAGTTACAGATATATGATTCATTCGGAATCGCCAATTGAAGGGGCGTGTTTAAGATATATGATTATCCGGAATCGCCAAATGAGGGGGGTGTTTAAGATATATGAGCACCAGCAGCAGCAGCAGCAGCAGCAGCAGCAGCAGCAGCAGCAGCAGCAGCAGCAGCAGCAGCAGCAGCAGCAGCAGCAGCAGCAGCAGCAGCGGCGGCACGACAAGCAGCACCACCAGCAACAGCAGCAGCAGCAGCAACAAAAGCAACAGCAGCAGTAGCAGCAGCAGCAGCAGCAGCAGCAGCGGCAGCGGCAGCGGTTGCAGCAGCAGCAGCAGCAGCAGCAGCAGCAGCAGCAGCAGCAGCGGCAGCAGCAGCAGCAGCAGCAGCAGCACGACAAGCACCAGCACCAGCAACAATAAAATCCCCAATAGCTTGACGCACAGGCAAACCCTTAAAAGTAGCGTCCCACAATGGCTTCATACACAGGCAAACCCTAAAACTAGAATCCTCCAAAGCTATTGTTTGCTTAAAAGAACGGGGAACAAAAATACAGGAAAAACAACAACAACAACAACAACAACAACAACAACAACAACAACAACAACCTCACAACAACCTCACAACAACCTCACAACAACAACAACAACAACAACAACAACAACAACAACAACAACAACAATACCTCAACTAATTCTGGAGCCACGCTTAAATCTCCGTCCAGGGGCTGGATGTAGAGCTGCGGGCAAAGCTGGCCGAGAGTGGCGACCTGCCACGGGCTGAGTCAGGAGGGGCGGAAGGCCAAAGTTGTTAAAGTTGTAGTTTAATTTCCAGAGTGGGCCCAACTATGGCGAGCTTCCACCCTAAATCCACAGCACCCGAACACAGACCTCAACACGCCGAGGCTCGAAGCAGCGCCTTCCGACGGCACCTACGAGGCCCATCTGTTGGACACTTTCTTTGCTGCGCTGTGGTGGCCATTGTGCGCTTGTCGCCTTCATCTTCGCCGGTCTTGCGAAGTATGACAGTCCCCGAGCACCGAGGTCTTGCGGAACAGCCTCAATGAGACCCAGAAGCGCTGTAAGGACCTGCGTCCTCGTTTCGTGGTGGATGCTACTCCTGTGGCCTTCAGCCGAGAGTGTAGGACTTCATGAGATGACGTGTCGCAACTGGCTGGTCCAAGGGGCCGAATTTGAGATCTCTTTCTTTACGTTGCCTACTCGAGTCTCGCTGGTTCACCTCTACCATGTTTGTCACACTTGGGGACTAAACCTGTAGCAACTCGTGTCGTAGCCCCCAGCATTTCTTAGCCATCACTGCTTTGTTCCTGAACAGCATGCCCATCCCGAGAACATCAACAATCGACGCGAAACCCTGCAGTCTCGAGCCCAGCAGGATCTAAACGATGAGATGCTTCGAGTGGCTAGGAGCCGAGCACGTGAACAGAGGGTTTGCGGTCCCCGCATTTTGGGTAAATTTCGGGTTGGGGCTGGCAGCCTTGGGGCATTAGCCTGGAGTTGGGCCACACGACAGCTTGCTTGTGGGTGTTTATTAACTTCTGATGCCGTGGATCACGCAGTTCTAGACAGGCGTCTGCTGAATGCCACGATGGCCCCTCGAGGCAGACGCTAACGAAGAGCTTCACAACACGTTGCGTTCTCTAAAGGCCCGGCGGATCGAGAGGGTGGGCCCCAGAGCATCTCCTGGTGACGGAGCCAATGGTTCTCGCTCGCCGTGCTGTCTGTGCCACTGTTTTTCTTGCGGTCTGTATTGGTTCTCTTGGAGCCTGAACCCTAACCTCATGCTCCACCTAAACCGCCATGTTAAGTCCCGGACCCTAATCTAATCAAGCCTTGATGCGTGGAGTTTTTTGAGAGGCTACAAACCGTCGGCTTGTGGAGGAGGTCCAGAAGCAAACCGAGGCACGGTCATCATTAGCAGCATAGGGTGTAGGGGAATGGAATGGGATGGAATGGAAGTGGCTAGCAGCACTAGCTGCAGCCGCCCACGGTCTTTCCCCCCACATCGCAGGCAGCTCCGATAACGACAACACGAGCGTCAGGTCGAGGTTCGAAAGCAGCCAGTCGAATAGAAGCATGATTGGAGGCCGGTATAGGGAAGGGAAATGAAAAAGAGAAGACGAAAGAGCTGAAATGGCACTGCCGCCCCATGGAGGGATGCTCGTCGGCGGCTGGACCGCCTTAGTGCCGGTTTTTTGGGTCCCTTCAAGATAGCCAACCCCAGTCCAGGAAACTCAATCGGCCCAGAGGGGAGGGTGTAGGGGTTATAGTCATGTAGCGACTGTGAGTAAGCTTGCGAAGTATGAATGGTGATGCTCGGGGAATCAACCAAACTCACAATTTGTGTCAATATGAGTCATATTGGAGAGTTTGGCCCAACATATCAAAAGCATTAGCAGTAGCATGATGGGCATACTCCTGGTATGGCATTGCGATGGGCGTTTGGGGGCCAAGCCATTGGGGCGGTTTGTAGTCGGAAGCTTGAGACCCCGTTTTTCGCGCCAGCAGATCCCGCTTAATTTTGAGCCCTCTCACACTAAAACATTTTGTATGTGCAGGAGCTATCCACGCTGACGCAGCAGCGGCTTGGGGACATGGCTCCTTGGATGCATTCCAGTTCTGGGGGAGAGCGTGTTTCCGTGAGGAGCTCTTGAGTGTCTCGGGGTTTAACCAAGGATCGGGATTTAGGGTGTATGGTTTGGATTGTTTATGCAGTCAGGCGCCTGACATGCATGTGACAGGCTTCCTCGCACTGGCCTGGAAAGCTTTGAGGAATAAAGGTTGAGGCTGTGCAGTGCAGGACTTTTAGGACGGGTTTTGTGGAGTTTAGGATTTCGGGATTAGCGGTCTTGGCAGGAGAAGGAATGATACATAGACTTAATCTCCCCGCAAACTCACATGCCGGCCACACTCACTACTTCGATTAGGGTTTGAGAATTGACGTTGCCGCAAGCAACTCGTCGTTCGCCACAGCCCGAAATGATGTGCTTGGGCTGCTGGGTGCTCTTTCGCAGTTTGGTGTTTTTGTTAGCATAACGTGTTAGCATAATGAGGTTTCGTGCTGCAAGTCCAAGCGTTTCCCAGACTTGGTGCCAGGAGAAGCTCTCGAAGCAAGAGGAGGCCTTCAGCCGGGAGAAGGCACGGCAGCGAAAAGTGACGGTGGCGTGATGACCTCACTCGAAACTGTCAGCTGAAACTGACACTAACCCGATCAAAAAGCAGTCAAGCACACCTTTTGTATTGTGCACTATGAGAAGAAACAAGGAGCTCGTGCACTGCATAATCAGTGAATATGAAATACGAGAAGTCCTATATCCCTGTTCAAGCAACGGGCGGGAGGTGCGAAAACCTCGACGCGGGTGATAAATCCGCAAGTGTTCAACATCCTGACATCTATAGGGCCATCTGTGCATCTTGGGTGTTTCTGAAGCTAGCGGCAGTTATTTGATGCCTCTGATGTTTTCCCGTTTGCTAAAATCAGAATGCCGCCAGGCTCAAATTTCAGCAAAAGTCCTAACGCCTGAAATGTGGCAGGGATCACATGTCCCTCTAAACTCTGAAAGTCCTGGCATATGTGGGGAGTGCGAAGCCACGTAGTTGCTCAGATGTCGGTAATGTTCGAGAAACATGATGTTTGCCGATGTTTTCGCATTTCAGGCTTCAGGAGTTTTGATCCCTGCTCATGTTTTCACAATTTGTAAGTGAACCCAGCTACATGATCCACTCCAGTCAGAGCTGGTATGGATCATTTGGACTTTTTTTGTGAGGGGGGGGGGGACCGCGCACAATCAACATATATATATATATATATGTATATATATGATATATGTATGCATGTGTATTTATATACATATATATCTACATATTTGTCACACACACACACACTACAAGGTACCCTCAAAGATCAATGGTTTGGGGCGATTTTAGACTTGGAAGCCGAAGCACTTAGCCCGAAGCCACCCGCAAGGCTTTTTCTTCAGAAACTTCACATAAAGATGCAAACAACCTTCATGGTCCAACTCTTCAATATCCGCTGTTCGTTCATGTGTACCACTTCCCCCCGAAAGATTCAAAACTTTTGTAGAAGTACAAGGAAGCACAGCACGCTGAACCATACATGTGCCATGGACGCAAAGTTCCCTAAGTCCAACACAAATACCCATGCTCAGCAATGCCTATAACCGCGTCACTGCAAACCACCCAACCACAAAAACTCATGCTACATTGCCTGCAATCCTTTTACTACTACGCCTAACCATGCAATTACTACTACGCCTAACCATCCAATCAAACATAATCTTGCCAAGTGTGATAGCTTTTGTTATTGCGAGCAGGTACCACTTGGCTGAGATTCATCGAGTACAAAAATATTATCATTTTTACTACTCGTTCGGTCTCTAAGTAGTCAAGTGTACACACTCATAAACATCACATCGTGGAGTTTACCTACTAAGCTGGTACACTCATGTCGCCAACACCTGTGTTAAAATTATGCCCGGGTATTCTTTTGTTACGTAGTCGATATGCAATACTAATACAGACTAGATATACAATTATTCCTAGTTTTTTGCAGCAAGTCTAAAATACTCGTTCAATCATACTTGATGTTCGTGACTCGAGAATATGGGATCACAAGTAAGTGTTACATAACCTGTATGTAGTCTTCGAACTTAACATTCAATCGTATTAACGAGTTTCTAGTTAAGGCTAAGTTCGATTTCACTTGTTTTCCCTTCCAAACCTTTATTTCATCTTATGTCGCGAATGATTGACCAAACACATAAGTACGACATGTTGAACTTATCTGCAAGCAATATCATGGTGTAGTCGGTGTGGCCGTCAACGAAAACTTTATGAGCATTCATGCGTTTGTCACCATAGCCGTTTAGTCAACATAAGCCGGTTTGTATCCTGTAACTGAATTATGTTGTCGAAATATCGACGAATTCTCGCATCATACGTCAATTAGACGGCAGCTGAATGTTGAACACACATCGACATAGAGCAAATCTCATCTCAATGTAAATTTGATAATGAGGGTATCTGGTAATACGCCAAGCTTGTAGGCTATGGAGAAAGGAAGATCTCCGTATGCTGGTCGGCAATGCAACGATACTTCAAAGGATCTTTGAGGTGGTGTAAGCAAACCACAGGAAATGATCAACACAAACAAAAATCAAGTTAGACAGACATTTGTGCCTTGCTTTGAACATGGCACATGGAAGATTCCTGGAACAATACCGCCAGTTATCAATGTTCAACACCAGGAAAACCGATCTGTTTGATCATTTATTGAAATTTGGGTGTCCGCTTTTATCAGTGATGGCATATATGCATGTGAATGGTCATGGTGAGTGAATTGAATTACAGTGAATTCCACACAAGTTTAGTGTAAGTGCCTAATTACACTCAAGCCAGCCCCGATCCAAGCTCACAGTACCAAGCTGGTTTGGAACGCCTAGAACATAGATCTTTGGGGGTGGGGTGGGGGGTACCATCTTTCTGTATATCTTTATGTGTTCGTGTATATGTATATGTGTACACACATAAATATGAACTCAAGTATAGATACATGTATACAAATAAGACATCAACATTTATATATATATATATATTTATATAAATACATATATATATATATATACACATATATCTGTATGTGCAAGTATATGTCCCAGAGCTCTCTCTCTCTCTATACATATATATAGGCACTTATATATATGTGTGTGTGTATATACATACATATGTGTATATGCTGTATATCTATATATGTATATATATATATATTTATATTTATTTATGTAGGTGTATACATGCAGATGTAGATGTGGAGCTATGTGTATATGTTTTTAATGTATCTACATACATGTATATATATATATATATGCTTGCAAGTGTACATGCCGACCGACCGACCGACCGACCGACCTGCCTGCCTGCCTGCCTGCCTACCTACCTACCTACCTACCTACCTACCTACCTACCTGCACACGTATGTGGCGTACTTTTCTGTATATACTACATTATACAAATGTAAATCTGTTTATGTATACATGCACGTACTTATACACACATTTACAAAGCAAGTCCCGGGTCGAGTTCTTGTTAGAATGAGATTTTTCCCCATGCCTGGAGCCTCACACTTGGAGCCTCTTAACACAAGGCCGAACCTTAAGCTCTACACTGTTTTTCATGTGAGCTCTCAGACCTGACCAGAGGCCTGCTGGGTCCAAGACGCCCAGAAGACTCTCGAGGAGGAGCAGCGCCGCCTTGACGAGGCCTTGAGCGGGTTCAGGGTTTGGGTAGGATCTGGTAGGATCTAGTAGTCCAAGGTCTGCAGAGATGAATGTAGGACTCACTTGGGACTAGGTTTTTTAGCATTGGAATGAGGGGCTCCAAGTTGCTTCTGCAGAGTATGTGATTGCATGGAAGTCGTAGGACGTCTCCCCGCCGTCTTGCAGACATATCGATACTGCTTATTCCACCACAACAACCACTACCACCGCCACCACCACTACTACTGCCACTGCGGCTACTACTCCTACTACTACTTACTACGTACTACTTACTACGTACTACTTACTACGTACTACTTACTACTTACTACTGCTAGTGATAGTGCCGCTGCCACTGCTACTGCTACTGCTACTGCTACTGCTACTGCTACTGCTACTGCTACTGCTACTGCTACTACTACTACTACTACTACTACTACTACTACTGTTCAGCCTGCTACTTCTACGACGGTCAATACGACTGGGACGACTGCTGTGCCGGACATTCCCATAATTATCAGGGCAAATTCTGCTCTCAAAATGAATGATACCAATCAGCACTAAGACCGCTACTGCTGTTGTTCTGACTAACTTCTTGTACTAGCCGCGGTAGCGACAGTCATAATTTGGTAAAGTAGGAGCAGCCGCAGTCGTGGTGGTGGTGGCAGTCCCAGCCTTGAGGCCTTTGCCTAAGTAGCACTACCCTATACGATCAATAGGTGTTTGAAAAGTCACACAATCTGGATCTTAAGCACTTTCTGATTCCTTTGCAGCAGTACTATACTCGTGCTCTGCTGAAGACAGCACAGATAGTAGACAGGCTGCATTGATACGATCAAAGTCAGCATCGCCCTTCAACATAGTGATAACAATCATCATAATGACCGTGGAAATTGCTATCTCAAGACTGGTGGTGAATCAGACAGTGGACCACGACGATGATGTTGATGTTGATAATGAGAATTATGATCAAAATTGTCTATTGGTTGTACGATCGTGGAGATGATGATTCAGTTGCCAATGCGGTCTGACTGTAGTAAAAATGTCGTGGAGTTATGTGGGTCACACTGAATCCGTGTTTACATGGATGGCTCGGAAGGATTTCGCGGAGATGCAAGAGGCCCTGAACGGCCGCCTCGACTCCTGTTGGCTGAGGGCTCGGAGGTTTGGGAATTCGAGTTTAGGCTGGGGAATTGTGCATGTGCTGTGTACATCGCGTGAATATGCATCTGTGCATGTACATGCATATGTAACATGTCTATGGTGTGTATGCATGTGAGCGTACGTGTATGTAAGCATGTATGTATGTGTATATGTATATATATATATATATACACATATGGATATGCGTGTGTGTGTGTGTGTGCGTATATGCGGATGTGCCTGTCTAGGTGTAGGTGTAGGCTTAGGTGTAGGGGGCATGTATGCACCTATCTACGTATGTGGGTGTGGGTAGGTTTGTTTACTTGTTTGTTTGTATGCTTCTATATATGCATGCAGGCATGGATGCATGTATGCCTATGCATGTATGCAGGCATGCGTTTATGTAAGTGTGTGGATGTATGTATCTTGTATGTATGTCTGTATGTATGTATGTATGTATGTATGTATGTATGTATGTATGTATGTAGGTATGTATGTATGTATGTATGTACGTATGTATGTATGTATGTATGTATGTACACGTGTGTGTGTGTGTTTTATGTACGTATGCATGCATGCATTCATGTACGTAGGTACGTATGCAGGCATGTACGCATACCTGCATGCAAGAACATATGTGTATACATATGTATGTATGAACGCTTGTAGCCATGTCTGTAACTGTATGTGCGTACGTACGCGTGCCTGTGTGTGTTTTTTGTCTGTATACACATGCATGTTTACAACGAAGGGAAATAATGAGAGAGTGGGAGAGCGAATGTGTTTGTGTCTCTACTGCATATGTGTATGTGTGTGTATATCTACATGTATAGGCATTGTAGTGTGTGTGTGTGTGCGTGCGTATACATGCAAGCCGAACCTTAACGGCCAAAGCGCTCAGGCGCAAGGCGGCGGCTGCCAAGGTGAAGACCGAGGCGCTGTCGCTGCCCCAGGTCAACAAACTGTAGCTTCACGGCTTGCCGTCGCCGTTTTGAGTTTTGGGGTTGTGAAGCTTCTAGTTTTTAGGGTCAAGAATGTTTGACCGTTTGGGGGTTCGTGTGTGTAGCTTCATGGTCAACTCCTGAGCCTTGCCCGCTTCATACCACGTCACCCTCGGACCGGTAGACAACATCTGGGACGTTAGAGGAGGCTAATCCTCAAGCCCCACAGTTTTCTCCAAGGAGGGGGAGCCAGCGCCAGCTGAAGTCTGACGTCGCTTTCTCAGTTGCAGCGACCCTTGCGAGGATCTGTGCTTTAGGGGAGAGGATCCAGAAGAACCCGGAATTTTGCAAGCCCTCGGCACAAGGAGCAGCCTGTACTTCATGCTTTGCATAAATACTACAAGCATTTGGGTTTGGAGATTTAGGTGCCCGTTGCCGGTCTGGTTCGTCTTCTCTTCATCCAAACGTGCAGACCCTGTCAGCGAGGTCCAGTCTTTCGCCCACGCCTTCAGCGGCTCAGCGCGAAGTGATCAGACCCCCGGCCTTCAGATCTTCCGTTCGGAACTGCAGAGCCCCACAGGTCGCTTCCTGAAGGCTTTAGCGGACTTTAGCGGGTTCTACCTGCTCCTGGTTTACCAGCCTGAATTGCATCAATGTAGAAGCTTGCAGTCAGACTCGCAATGAATTCAAAAGGTACGGAGACCAATAGGGACAAGCAAGACTTACAAATAATAGCGGTAGTTGGAAGAACGCATATCAATCACGGCCACGTGAAGACAACGGGCAACAAACTCTGTAGTAGTCATCGTCCGAAAGAGATTGCTTTTTGGAGCTCTAGAAAACGATTCTTGAAAGTGTTGAGCCGAAATCTGTCTGCCTCATACTTACGGCCTTGTGAGCCGAGAAGACCAGCCCGTGCACTTCCAAATTCCTTTCTGATTGGGAGCTCCGCTGAGTCCCCGAAACAGAAACTCGGATTACGACTCGGAAAGAGAACTCCCATATCCTTGAAAACCTCAACGAGCAACCCGCTGCCAAGACACCAAAGGCCAAGGCCTGAAAGGCGTTGAGCGGGAGCTCCTAGACAGGACCGCTCGGGCCTTCTTCCGGAGACTTCAGCGCTTTGGGCCTTAAGAATCTTCAAGCCTGCAGTCCGAAACGGGCTTTGCTTACGCGGCTCTACTGAAATTAGTGTTCAGGCATTGCACTAGGTTATTTTGCAGTCTTTACAAAGGTTTCAGTTGTAGGCGTCTTGAGATGAGACAGGGTCAAAGGGGTCTCGGCATTTTCTGGTAGTTGTAGTGTATCGTGAAGTTTGGTGTTGCACATGCTTCATGCGACAGTCTAGCGGTCTATCTCCGGCCCTATAAGTCTCATGCACAGTTGACAGCTGGTTCTGAGCGGTGCTGTAGTGCGGAAGCGGGCGGGTCGGAGTGTGCTGTTAAACTTTGCGACATACATGTGCACACCAAGAACTTTTATACACACACACGCACACGCACACAAAGCCCGTATAGAAACACAGTCTCTAAGAGCCTGCCCTTGCACTGCCAGAGTTTGTTTGTTTGACGATTGACGTGCTGTACCAACGGCATTTTGGTAGCTCGTATGCCTGTTTTTGGCATAGCGCTTTTGCAAGTGGGGCAATGCCAAGTCTTTCCTCCCTTGGACAGCAGTGAGGTATTTTTGCAAACCTCCAATTTCCCAGTGTCACGCTCTGTTGAGGCAACCAAACAGGGAATCCAATCCGAGCTTCCTGCTAGGATCGCAGCCGAGGAGAAGAAGATGTGGCGTGCTCGGGCATCTTCCTGGCTGATGGGGCTCCGATGCGGGGGGAAGAATAAGAAGGTTGTTCCAGGCGTCAGAATGCGCTCTGTGCCACACTACGGCTCGTGAAGCCAGCTTGCTCCATATTCATGGATGTCATTGACCGCGTGTTGTCACCAGCGGTCTTCATCACACCCAAGCACTGGCGGAACACCCAGGCGGACCGAGCTCAACCGCCTGCAAGACCTGGAGCATGGGTTAGAGGTGCTGTCGTTTCAGATCTGAAGGTTTAGTGCTCCTGCTTTCACGGTACAGGGCTTTGGGCTTGCCTTCCCGGTTGGAGGGTGCAGAGTTTCAGGGTTGTAGTCGCGGATGAATGGTTTCGGACGGTGGGAGCCTTGCTTCTCCCTCCGCGTCGACGTCGTGATCTTCATCTTCGTCATGATCGTCATGAGAATAGTCATGACAATGTATGACAATGTCGATTATACTGGGTTTGATACTAGGGCTCTGTTTCCGTCGTGGCCCTGGAGCTTGGCCAGTTAGGCTTGCTGCTTTTTGTTTTCTTTACTGCAGAACAACCCCGAACCTTGCAAGTGTAGTTCCACCCCTCATTCCTACTGCCCCTGCTCTTGTCCCAGTTTCAGGTGCCCAGACTCAGTAGTAGAACTGGATCTAAAAAGTGCATGCATGGGACACGTTGAGGGACATGCTGTTGTGCAGTGTGCGGATCAGGGTTCCTGCGTAGGGTTGAAGGTGCTGACCAGCGACTGTGACGTGTGTAAATGGCCGAATATGATTTGAGAGACATCGTTCCGGTCCAGGCTGTGTTGTCGAAGCCAAGAGCCCGAAGCGGCGCACCAGGAAGCCGACCAGCCCATTCCATCCAGATGCTCCTAGCCTCCTGACCTATCAGGGTCTGGGTTTCTAAGCCCCAACCACCTCGGAGGTGAGGGTCAAAGCCGAGCGGGAGGTGAGGGCCAACGAGGTCCAGTCGTGGAGGATGGGATATGCGACAGCCTTTGCTGCTCTGTACTCCGACTTGATCGCTCTACTAGTACTAGCTTAAAGATAAAAGGGTGGTACGGCGGGAAGAACACGAAACTATCCGTCAACTGCTGGCAAAACTGTTGTCTGCAAGAAAAGTCCAAGTCACGCAGGAGCCGCCACACCGCACTGGCCACGGACCTCGAGGCCCTAATCACCCGTCGAGACCAGGAGGCAGGGGCTCAATTGAAGATCTGTCAGTTTGTGTGGGTTAGAGGGCGTGTACAGGTATATTTTTGAGCTTCTTTGTCAAACGTTTAGGGCTTAGCTCAAGGGGCTTAGGGGCTTCGGTTTTGGGGTGAACTTTCCGGCGGCGCGCTCGTGACAGCTTTTGACGTCCGACGGAGGTTTTTGAGCTCCAGTCGAAGGTCAATCTGGCGATCAGCAGTCGTGAATCGCAGGAGCCTGGAGTATGTCAAGCCTTGCTTTGCCGTGGCTTTGCGCAATCTTCATCACTACGATTGCTTCGGCAGGAGTCCTCGGCAAAGCAGGAGCGTGCTGCCCTGCAAGAGAAGGCTGCCGGTGTTGGATGCAGTATTGCATGTTGTGAGAGTGTTTGCATCCAGGCGGAAGCTTTGTCCAAGGATGTCGCATTGGTGGAGGCTGCCGGGAGATGCCGGTAGCAAGGAGGTGTCTGTTGTGCAAGTGCCTGATCTGACAGAGTTGCGTGCTCTTCGTTTTCATGCGATGCTGTATGATCGCCGTGCTTTGGTGGCTCCCAGCTTCGTGCCATAAGAGGTAGCAGCATGGACCACTTTCTGATAGAGGTCAGGATGATGCGAGGTCAGATTGAGCCGTTTTTGCCACATCAACAGTTTTAGCCCCACACCCTCTTAAGCAACTGTCATCACCAAGAATTCGCGAACGAATCTTGTAGTCTAGCTTGTGGGTCTTCGCCTTATTGCAGACTACTATCAAAGAACCGCGTCGCTATGGCTTGAAACGCGTGCCAGGCGCAAACAAAGCTAAACCAGTACCAACAGCGCCTGCGGTGCAGTTTGGCCCACGCTGTCATAGTCTAATCCGGTGAATAGTGTGCAGAGCTGAGTTGCTGTCCACAATGGAAGATGGTTGCGGCTACAGTACGTCAGGTTCTCAGCAGTGGCGCGACAGTTGGTTCTCGGTTTCAGCCTGCCTCGTCCACACCTCGCAAGCATATTGACCCCAAGTTGCACCACGCAGAATGAGGCGTGTTGTTTCGCACGTGCGCGCGTCAAGGGATCCATATGACATTCAGACGTTTCTCGGGCCCCAACCCCCAGCGTCCGGTCAGCGCCTGAGTCGCGTCGGGAGCCTTGTGCGGCCTGCAAAGCCTGTTGTGAGGCTCAGCCGGCTGGACGGCCGAGGGCTGCTGGTAGTTGGGTCTTACGATTCAGGGAGTGTAGGCGTTGATTCCGGAATTCCAGGGTTTTGGGTTTAGGGGTTGAGGTTTAAACGCGCAGCATTCATTTAGCCGGGTCTGCATTTGAGGGCCTTCCGTGTAGAGTGTATCCTATTGAAAGAAGAGCCGACAGCATCACTCAGGCCGTTTTCTGCACCATGATACACCCACTATGAGTGCGCTGCTAAAAGTAGTCTAATTCTCGCGGCCGTTTCGACTCGTCGACTTGACTGAGTAAAGAGTCATAGTCATGGCTATTGCGAGCAGTGATGGTGATGATGTCATGGCGACCTGGACGTGTTGAGCACGATTTCCGTTTCTGGCTACGTCGTTGCATCGTGGTTGGTGGCAGCCTGGCAACCCGAAACCCAAGCCATGCAGCCTCGGATTCTCCATGCGTGCGAGGAGGGCAAAGATCCCTCACAGGAGGCGTTTCGACGCTGCGAGGACCGAATTTGGATATGCTCTCTATCGTGTGGTGACCGATATAGCTGCCGCCCACAGTGGCAAAGCCGCATTAATGACGATGACGATGGGCATGAGCTTTGACCACGGCCATAGTCATGACGACGACGAGGATGACACGCTGGCGAGGATGACGGTGATGGTGATGGTGGGGATGATGTTGTTGATGATGCAGCAGTATCATCACAAGCACAAGACACAGAAAAACTTGGGAAGGCACTTTGCCATAATGCTGCAATTGAAGGAGGGAGGAAGAGAGCCGAGGACAGACTCAAAAGGAGGACCATTGAGGAGAAAGGAGGAACACGAGGCTAGGCGGAGGAGGAGGAGGAGGCGGAGGACAAAGGAGGATTATGAGTGAGCACAGTTTTGGAAGCAAGAGCTCCAAATCACGTGCGCAGAACAGGGCACAGGAAAGAGCACAGTTTTTGAGCACAAGCTGCGATCATGTTGCTGCTGATGATGATGAGGATCGTGGTGACAATGGCGACAGCAATCTTGATGTGCCGGGCATACCAGTTGCTGGGCCGTGTCTTGTTGCATGCTTTCGGTGCCACTGAGTCCTTCTTTTGGTACAAGCGTGCCGAGATGGCATCATCATGGAGTGTGTCGGGTTTAAGTTCCAGGAAGAACAGCGGCCTTTCTTGCTGTCCGGCTTTGCCTGGTCCCCAGATCGCACTGCATGCTCGCAATTGCAGCGGCAACAGCAGACAAAGTCGTAGAACTCGCAATGCTGGTAGAGGTGGTGGTAGTAGCAGTAGTAGCAGCAGCAGCAGCAGCAGGAGTAGTAGTAGTAGTAGTAGTAGTAGTAGTAGTAGTGGTCGTGGTGGTGGTGGTGGTGGTGGTGGTGGTAATAGTTAGTGGTAGTGGTAGTAGTAGTGGTGGTGGTAGTAGTAGTAGTAGTAGTAGTACTAGGAGCAGTAGTAGTAGTAGTAGTAGTAGTAGTAGTAGTAGTAGTAGTACAGTAGCGTAGCAGAGGGGAAGTAGGGGGCGGGGTAGGGACAGTACGGATAGGGGTGGAGGAGTAGTAGCAGCAGCAGCAGCAGCAGCAGCAGCAGCAGAAGCAGCACCTGCTGTAGCAGCAGCAGTTGCAGTGGCAGTGCATCTGTGCATCTGCATCGGCTGCAGCAGATTGCCGACAACAGTTGCTCCCAGTTGTCAGTTTAGTAGTTCTAAACGGAGAGACAGTCTATTCCGTTATGACAACTATGATAAGGAACAGTCCTGACATGGTGCTGGTTGATGCTGATGTTGATGCTGCAAAACTTGATCGCCATAGTGGAGACGCTGCTGGTTGATGCAAGTTGGCGGCCTGCACAATGAAATTATTAGCTAGACGGCAGGCCGGTGCGTGAGCTTGTCGAGATTTGGACAGAAATGCTAGACTTCGACAGGTATGGTTGGCAGCTGTCCTAGGCATCCGAAGAAAGCTTCCACTGTTGTGAGGCCGGGAAGGAATTCTTCGCATGGTGGCGTGCTGGCCTCATACCGGTGAGTATCTGGTTTGCGGGTCAAGATACCACCACCACCACCACTTCTACCAGGACTACGACGACGACTACTACTACTGCTACTACTACTGCTACTACTACTACTACTACTACTACTACGACTACTACGACTACTGCTACTGCCACCTATTACTGCTTGTACTGGTTCTGCTTTCCTTCCTTCCATTCGCGACGAACGTCTCGGGGGGTCCGCCTCGCGTGCTAGCACTAGCTCTGCTGCTGCTACTACTACTCCTCCTCCTCCTGCTCCTGCGCTTACTCCTTTGGCAACAGCAGCGACGACAGCATCAACAACTTTTACGACAAGACTGTGCTATCCATCAGTCCTGCTGCTGTAGGTGTTAACTGTGTTAGCCTTGAAGATATATTGACTGTGGAGCTTTAGACTGCTTAATCCGAGCTTTGCCTAGGCGACGAGGTTTTACGCCGCTACGGCGACGAGGAGGGTTTTGCAGGTTTACGATTTCAGGCGTCAGGAGATGAAATTACTTGTCGCTCCGTCCCTGCCAGCACTGCAGAGTCCGAAAATCACAACGCTGGAGTGAAGTAGCTGCCTGCAGGCGGTGTACTTCGTGGAGGTTTGCGGCGTGACTTCAAAGCGTGCTCTGATGGAGAGCTCATTGAAAGTCTTTGCCGACGAGTGAGGGGCTCAGCGCAATGTTGCATGGGGGCTACACAGGATCGGCGATAAATTCCGACTAGCTCTAGACTCTAGGTTTTGTCAGCAGGGGAATGATTTAGGCAGGCGTCCGCTCGGCTTCTGCGATCCGTGCTGCATCCGGTTGTTTGACTCGGTTGTTGTCGCCTGACGCTTTTCCTCGCAAGAGCCCATGCTAGTCCGAGGCCGCAGGCGGCTTCATGAGTTGCTCCGAATTGACCCTTGCTTTCTTGATGACGGTTGGGGCCCGGAGCTGGCAGTCGATCGGGTACAGGTACCTGTGGATGTTCTGCCATCGATTCATGTGGGGATGCCACTGGCGAGCAAGCGCAACTATCTGCGGTGCACTCTGCAGACATCTTGTCAGAAGATGGCGAGGATCAGGGTCCTGCATTGTTGTGTGGCAGGAGAGCTAGCAGAAGCAGAGGATGGGGATGTTCGGACACAGCGGTCCCCTTCATCTAACACCTGGGGGAAGTGCAAAGCTCGTACTGCGCAGACTCGTACTGCGCAGATGCTGAGCGTAAATGCGGCTGGATCGAGCAAGTGCGGGTGCCGCGGAGTGTGACTTGAATGCAAGAGCAGTGGAGCTGCTCTGTTTCGAGGTGTCTCGAAGTGGTGACGCCGACGCCTGCCGTTTTGCAGGCCGCTTCACAGCAAGTGTGAGGGGCCTCCTTCACTTTCCGATTGGGCTTGCACCGGGCTGGGTCGGATATTGGTGGAAGGTGTTCCTGAACTTTGCCCTGTCGGCGACGATGTGCGCCATGGCAGTTTATAGAGTGCTCATGACCACCGGCTTCGAGCAATGGAGGCCCACACTCTACGCAATCTCCACGCCACAAGCTTCGCTCGCTGGCCACTCGGCGGCCACTCGGTTCCAAGTTCATCAAGCGGCTGAAAACGCAACCCACGCCGACCTGGTTCGGCCCTGCTCGTGCAGACTTCTGCGTCAACGTGGCGGACTCCCAGCAACGTCTCTTGAAAAGGCCCGCCGACACGTCCTTTATCAGCTGGCTAACTTGAAACCTTGCCTGTCTTTCGCAGATTACCAAAGATCTTGGAAATCTTCCGCTTCCACTTGTCAGATGCTTCGGTTGCGGCTTGCGGCAACCCGCCAATTGCCTGCAGTCTCGCTTGAGGAAGCTTGGAGAGTACGAAGGGTGACGTGCTGTTGACGTTTACGTGCGGCCAGCTCTTCCTTGTTCTCCTCTGGCAAACTCACAACACATGCTGCAAACCTTGACTTCATGGCTTTTTTTTACCGAAGCAGGCTGGCCTATCTTTTGGGCACGGGCGCAACACGCGGCCTTGATGTTCCGACCAAGCTTCGCGCGCTGGACGGATACCCGCAGGCCAAGGATGGGCTAAACACTTTTGGCATTAAAGCTGCTTAAAGCTGTTTGAACATAAGGCTCATGTTCACGGAATGTTTCGACGCTTTAAGCCACCTACTGTAAGCCTTCAAGCCACAATTTCTAAACTTTTCTAATGGTTCAAACTTGGCCTGTGGGTTTTCAACATGTTTAGACTAGCCCTGCTGCAGGCTCTGGCGCGGAAGACACGCGGCAAAAGATCCTCGTCTTCGCCAGCAATTGCACACTGGTGTTCAGCCCTCGAAGCCTGCAGCAAGAGCTGGACTATGGGTTACAAGCGTGCACCAGCAGCAAGCTTATCCACTTCGAACGCTTAAACAGGTGATGGCCACAAGCTTCACTCGCTGGCCACTCGGTTCCAAGTTCCAAAGGAGCTCAAGCAGCCCACGCCGTTGGAGGAGCGAGTGGAAGCGATGAGGGGAGCGCTCTCCCGGTTGGAGTTTCTGGGACTGCACTCGGAAGGGAGCTTTGGGGTTGGACAGGTTCGTGTAATGTGTTGTTGGTCCAGGCGGTGATTGCAGTCGGAGCGACAGCGACAGCTTTAGCTAGGCAGAAGAAATGGGTGAGGGAGGAGAGAGCCACTGCAGCCCAGTGTTCCTCACCTTTTCACACTTGAAACACTTCTCAGGCTGTTACGAGTACTTCAACGAGCAGCACAGAGACAGTCTTGCTTCAAGCGGTGGAAGCTTCTGCAGCTGTAGTCTAGGGTGATTACGAACCGCCAGAGATTGGCGAGAACTGACTAATCGAAACCAGTTCGTTTGGCAGGCGATGAGCGTCCGGTCCTGCCGAAACACACCTTTGCCCTATCCTTGTCCTGTCCCTCTGCAGCATTTGGGGCTGCAGCAATATCGTATGCGATCTCGTACATACACATAAATACACAAATGTACGAACTTGGCTGGCCGCTCATTGTCTAAGCGTGGGAGCTTGCAGACATGCCGACTCCGTGCACAGTCGATGTAGAATGGTTGAGTCGTTGAGAGGAGTAACATTACTACACGAACCACTCCTGATCATTATTCGCAGTGAAGCAGAGAAGCAAGAACTCGGAATGGCAGCGGCAGGGACGCAACGGCGAATGATTGCAATGAGCGCAGTTGCCGTGGTGGGGTATTGCGAAAACGGCCAACGGTAGCTATATTATGAAAACCAGCAAGAAAACTTGACAGCCCGACATGTGAGTGAATGTTCATTTTCAGACCAAGAACAGGATTCACGGTCATGCAACATTGTGCAACCAGCACATCTAACTATCAGGATTATGGAGGTGCATTCTACTATTCAGTCTGAGCTAGTGGCAATGGCAATCGCAAGAGTAGTTCTGCTAGTCGTAGAAACAAAGGTTAGATTAAGAAATACGAAGCATAGGCAAAAACCATGCATACGTAGTTGTTGCGAAGGTTTAACCATAGGTCACTGCGGCGACATTTGCGCAAGTTGAAGCTGCAATACTGGTCACGGAGTGGATGTGTGTTTCGGAGCCTCGAGCATAGCCGCTCGGGCACTTCCGAGAAGGCCGTTTGCGGGAGCCAGGCTCCAAGATTGTCTGGGAGCTACCCTCTTTGGTTGGTCGTGCTGCTCAAGCAGTCGGCCCCCATCGGTTCCCGACACCATGGTGTCGCTTGACTTTTCTGCTGCAAAAGCGCTCCTTCCGACAAGTCTGATCCCTGGAAGGATCGCAGCATCCATGCTAAATTCTACTGTTCGCTCGTTGGCCATATTTTCATATGGCTGTTGCTCCCCAGACTATGAGGCTTTTTATCGAAGCCCTGCCAGCCACTGATCTGCGCCGTGAGCAACGAATGGGTTTCGATTAGCTGCATAAGTTGCATAAGCGGCAAGTGCGGCAGTGACGGATGTGACGGTAGCGACAACGAGATGTAGTCCGGCTCAGGGTGCCGCCCAATCTCGGCGTTCTCGGCATGGCAACATTCAGACACCTGCTTCCCTGCTGATTCTAGCATACATCCCGCAATCCTGCATGCCTTGGTGTTGAATGAGTGGGGGAGGCACAGTCCTATCGTAATTTTTTTAAGCAGTGGCGCAATATCAGTTCTGTTAAAAGCCATGCGACTCATTCTCATCTGTGTCTTTGGGTCCGGGACACCTTTCGGAAAATATGCTTGCCACCATCACGTGCTGCACATGTTCATTGGCAAGCGTCTTGAGCCAGCAGCTGTCATGGCGCTTTTGGGCTGCAGAGGTGCGAGAAGCTGTCTGACCGAAGCAGATTCGCGTATCTGCAGAACGAGCTCATTACTGAGAAGGACGTCGTTTTGAACTCTGCAGGGTTTGCGCGCTTAGCTTTCGCCAACACCTTGTTGGGATTCGCTCCTGAGATGTCCCATCTCCCAAACTTAACGTATCAAAACCCCGTTCCTCGCTAGGATGCTCAACTCCTGGAGTTGCTTTTCCGCAACCTTCCGGGCGTGCTGCCCACAGGCCTGCAGTTGTACTCCGTGTCATCTACATGGGGGTTTTGGGATGTATTGGGAAGGGTATGAAATCTGGCCGGAAGCGACGACTTCGCTGCGCCTGAAACTTGGTCAAAGGCTGCCAGGAAGGTGGAACATGATGGAAACGCAGAGGTGAAAAGTGGAAATGGTAGCAAGGCGGCCAAAGGAACAACAGAGTTGACAACAGGTGAGCAGGAGTGGTTGCAAGGCCAGTTAGAGAGGATTCGGAAACATTGCTTGCAAGTCAGAGATGAAAGGCCATTTAAGGGTGTGTCACTGAACGATAGTGCCGGATCCGAATCGGCTTTGCTAGTTTCGGCATCTTGTATAGCTTCAGGCTATCCTATATCAGTGTGTCTCACAACTACTACGACCGCCACCACCACCACCACCACCATCCTGCTTCTGATGCTGCCTCAGCTGCTGCTACATCTACTGTTAATGCTACGACTGCTACCTCTACGACGACGTCTACTACTACCACTGCTGCTGCTGCTGCTACTACTACTGCTACGTTCACTGGCAGCACTGCTGCTGGTGCTATTGCTACTGCCACTGCTACTGCCGCTACTACTGCTGCTGCTGCTGCTGCTGCTACTACTACTACTACTACTACTAGTTTCTACTACTACTACTACTACTACTACTACTACTTCTCCTACTACGTCTACTACTTCCACCGCTTCTACTACTTCTACAACATCTACCTCTTCTACCACTTCTATTTCTTCTTCTGCCTATATTTCCACTACTACTACTACTACTACTACTACTACTACTCCTACTACTACTACTACTACTACGACTACGACGACTACTACTGCTACTACTACTACGACTACGACAACCACTACCACTACTATCACTACTACTACGTTACTACTACTACTACTACTACTACTACTACTGCTACTGCTACTGCTACTGCTACTGCTGCTACTGCTACTGCTGCTACTGCTACTGCTACTGCTACTGCTTCTGCTTCTGTTTCTGCTTTGCTTCTGCTACTGCTACTGCTACTGCTACTGCTACTGCTACCACTTCTACTGCTACAGATGCTCCTGCTCCTGCTAGTACTACTACTACTACTACTACTACTAGTACTACTAGTACTACTACTACTACTACTACTACTACTACTACTAGCACTTCTACTACTCCCGCTGCTGCTGCTGCTGCTGCCGCTGCAGTTTTGCTTGCGGTTATTCGCAGCCGTTGCTCATCAGATCACGGCCATGCTGCGGATGATGCTATTTCTGGAACCTGAAGACGTTGAGACGATCATGATGCAGGTATGAACGTGAGGGTGTGTGGATCAATGCATGAAGATGACTGCGTCATGGGCATGACAAGGATCAGGGTTACGGCTACGGGCTGACAAGGGTCAGGGTATGTCAGGGTTACGGCTACGGGCGAGGCTAATGGTTCTTCTTTAGTACCGCCCATATTTTTGGTTGAGCTTTTGCCTCATGCATTGCGCTGGAACCGGCTGGTTGTCATGTTGGAAAATGCCTTTATTGTGGCTTGGTTCTTTGTTCCCTTGTTTCAGCTATGATCAAACGAAGTTTCTATTTTGCCCCTTGTTCCTGATCATCATGTTACACTGCCACCTTATACCTGCATCCATTGCAAGTCCGGTGTTTGACAACTCCTCTCTTCGGTTTTTCAGTGTTTGCGGTGTTTTTGATTAGTGTTGTCCTCTTATCTACAACGTCTTATTCCGAACACTTCCCACATGGCTTCTTATGCTCGTGTGTGGTGTCTTTGCGAGCATTGCTTCGCAGTTTTCGCTGCTATTCAGGCACAACTTGTGAACGTTTTTGCACCAGCTGCTCGTACTCTGATTTCCTTTCATTCTGACCTGTCTCTGCGTGTTCAGCTGCCTGCCGAGTGCACGAATTCCTTAATTATCTCCGGACCCTGACCCGTGTCTTCGACGATATTGTCGTCATTACTACTTAAGGTGCTCAGCTGCTGTTGTGTACTACTTGTGCACATTCACAAACCTTCCACTGTTCCTGTATTGTGGTGGTTGTTGTGCCTTCACATCGCACAGGCCCCGCCCACGACTTGTTTCGCAGGTGGCCTCAGCTGCATGGCTGCAGATAAGTTTGTAACATATTCCTTAGTCGCCTTCGTCACCACAGCATGAGGCAATAGTCATTCACTGGAGCAACACAGGGCATCAGACAAGCACACGACGCTTTGTAGACGGTTCCAGCTAACTTCAGCCAAATGAAAGAAAGTTGTCAGTAGCGAAAAAGCATCAACAAACAACAACACCAAAGACCCAAACAACAAGACATTTTTGGGCCTCTAGACAAAAAACTGACAACAAATCCATCAAGCGCAAGCCACACAAAAGCCAAACACAAGCAGCAGGCACCAAACCAAGCAACACACTACGTCAAGTAAACACCAACAACACTAAACAACTCGGGCCTCTGTGGGAAACTGCCTCCGACACAGGGCTCACAAACAACAGCCCTTCTACAGTATTACAGGTGCCAGGATAGGTCCTCACGTGCTCCAGCTACATGCATGTCAACATGTTAACATAGAAAGACTACGTATGTTTGTATGTATGTTTTCATAGTAAGCATGTATACAGAAAGTTACCAGAAACTGGAAGAAACTATTATCCTCAAGAGCGCCATACTAGAATAGGTCCTAAACTGCTCCAGCTATACGCATCTGTCAGTGTTTGTGCATATGTCCGTGTTCTAGATAAATATGCAGGTGAATACAGTAGGTGCCAGGAAGTAGGAACACGAATGGTCCCCATCAGCTCTTCGGGTTAAGGGTAGGAATCTTAGCACGAATCGTTCTTGATTATGCCATGCTCGACTCTGGAAGCTCTCCGTGCTTCTGTGGCTACATCTGCATCCATTTGTATGTTTGTTTGAAGTATGTGCAAATAGTTGTAAATACGCACTGTATTCCCCAAGCATACGTAAGCAATATAAGTGTGATTCTCTATCGACAGAGCCAGGAATTCATTGATCTCTCATATTCTACCGGCAGTTTACACGAGCTTAGTCAGCTTGCTCAGTACATGTTGCTTGTTGGCTGCAATTTTACATTTTGTTACCCAATAAGGATTTAAACATGATCATTCTTAATTAATATAGCCCCAACAGGGAACCAGATATCTATATTGCCGGAATAAACAGTCCGGTCTAGCTGTTGGAGTTGGTTTAAAAAGATACTGTTGCAGATTCTGTTCTCGTGTTTAATGAACTGGCTGAATTGGCCCGCCTTGTTTTGCTAATCGCCTGCAGCCAGCGAGGACACGTTATTTGACGCGTGATCAGCGTGGACCCCCCTCCATCTTACTCATCATCATCGTTGTGGTCGTAGTCGTAGCCGCAGTCGTAGTCCTGTCGTGGTTGTAGTCGTAGAAGTCGTGGTGGTGGTTGTGGTGGTGCTGGGGTCAGTGATAGTGGTAGTGGCAGTGGTGTTGGTAGGCGGTGGCGGTGGTGGTGGTGGTGGTGGTCGTATAGTAGTAGTAGTAGTAGTAGTAGTAGTAGTAGTAGTAGTAGTAGTAGTCGCAGTAGTCTTCGTAGCAACAATAGCAGAGTAGCAGCAATAATGGCGGTAGCCGTAGCCATAGCCGTAGCAGTAGCAGTAACAGTAGAAAGAGCAGTCGCAAGAGCAGTAGTAGCAGCAGGAGCAGGAGCAGGAGCCTTAGAATATTCGAAGTAGCAGCAGCAGTCGGAAAGCCCTTGGGACCCTGTAGACCTTAAGAAACATAAAGAATCTACGAACATGAGATTCTAATTCTTTGAGCTTATGAGCCGAGGAAACTGGCGCCCGCCAGGGCCCAAGTCTTTCGAGGTCATAAGGCTGCAGCGCTGAGAGAAGTCTGACCGAATCTTAGATGCGTAGACGGCATGAGTACTATGTGGTTACAACGTATATGAAAGGAAGCTCAAAAGAGTATGCGATGTGTAATGACCTCCTACTTTCGACTTGTGGAGGCGCATTGTGCTATGCTTCAATTCCTGGTAGTCCAGAATGTGGGGTTCATTCTTAGGGCAGCGCTTCGCGTTTGGGCTGGATTCTTTCGGATCGTCTTTTTGCAAAGCTCTGGTGCAGCAGGTCCGCTCTGGCTGTGAAGCACTTTACCCGGATGATGTGGTCTTTGGTTTCGGATGCAGCTGGGAAAGTTGTGAGCATGCAAGCGCCAAAGCCTGGTTAGTTCTGTACGCTGAGGCGCCTCTGTCGCTGCTGGTGGCTGGTGCTGGCGTCGGAACTCCCAGTCTCCACCTTGCAGCAGCAGGTATAGATAGCACAGTACGTATGCCCAGGTCGTTTGTAAACTGCTCGTCTGTTTGTTGACCGGTTACCCTTACATTATCAGGCTTGTCGCGCGTGTGTGCGGAGAAGTGCTTTCAGGGTCATGTTGAAGTGGATTTAGGGCACCTGACCGTGGTCTCTGAACATCCTTGGAACGCGGCCTTCAGTAAAGACCAAAAGGGTTTCCGCGAGCTGTGACCCAGCGACTTGGGGGCGATATTGTGCCACAATGTGTTGGGTCGCTCATCAGCTCAAGTTTCAGTATGTGCCCGCTCCACCCCAAGCGGTGTTCCCGGGATGGGCCCATGTCTTTCTGCTGCACCTGTCCCCCACCCTTGTCTCTCTGCCCTGTTTACCACCAGCCGTTTTTCTATGGGACAAGATTTCAACACGCAGAGATTGGCCAAAGAAAAGGTGTGTGAACAATAAAGAAAGTAAAACAAGGTGAAGAGAAGGTGGAACAATAGTGACCACAGCACAACGGACGGAGCCAAAGCGTCTTTGGAAAAGAGGCAACCTGCAGCCGAGCAACAGCTGTAAGACGCGGAAAATGCAAGGCGAGCAGTCCTTGCATTCACCTCTGCATCGGCCGCTTGCCTGGTGTTCACCTTTCGGCTTCTACCTTTCTTTCGCTGCGCAAATCAGAATCCTAGTATCAAGCTGACTCAGAAGATAGCTTCTCCCACCATCATGTCATCAGCGCAAAACCTTATGGTGGCCACGGAACCGGGTCCTCTATCGAGGCATCAGCAAAAACTCACCGCAAGCCCAGGCCGTAAGCCCCAAGTTTTCTCCAGAAGCCCGTCGAGGCAAGGACCCCTTTGCGACGGCCCGGCCTCGAAGCTCCACAGCTCCGCGCCTGCAGGGAGGGCAGGGAGGGCAGGGAGGGCAGGGAGGGCAGGGAGGGCAGGGAGGGGGAGGCTGCCGAAACGTGAGGAAGTTTGTTTATTTGTCGTCGGGCCAGATTGCTACGGAAGGTAGAACCTTAAGCAAGATAACCTGAATGACCCAAACCCAGCAGTCTGCCCTGTCGCATCTGGGGCTTGAACCTCAGGGTGTGGGTTGGGAAGACTTGCGGTTTCGGTTGGAAGTTCGGAGGATGCGAGTCGAGACGTGATCCGGGAAGGGCCTGTAATGTTGTGGGGTGATCTCAGGGCTTTAGGGTCGCCGGGGAGAGAAGTGTCAGGTAAAAGTGACTTCAGCTGCAGGTTGTTTTGCGTTGTCGAGATGTCTCGCATTTACTTCGCTTTGGGTGTGAGGCCCTTTGTATTGTCCAGCTTCACGCCCCCCCCAAACCTGAAACGTCGGAAGACTTATCTTCGGAAGGTCCGCGAGGTTCGGGTTCTGGGATCTTTGCCGGAGACGCGCGCGTCGGCTTCGGAGTGCGGATGTCTTAAACTGAGACGTTAATCAAGGGCCTTGGTTTGGGGAATGAGGATGTTGTCAGGCGTGTGGTTTCGCAGACGCAGTCATGAGAACTTGGGCTCCAGCCTCCTAGCCTAGCATCCTCTGCGACTGCACATGCTCGTTTCTAAGCCATGGCGTTACCAATGACGAAGACTGTCATGAAGGCAGTGAAACATGTAGCTTTGCCGATCTACCGCTACATCTTCCTGAAATCGTATGACCTTAGGACAACTTCCTTGGCAGGACATCATGCCTCAGTTGGGCTAGAAGCATATTGATCTTTTAGCAGCAGCGGCTAGGTGCCCACGTGAGCCTGTAGCAGTTCAGTGTGCATCGCTCCATCACTGCAGTGGAGATTTTTGGAAACATGAATCCATGGCCATGGAAGGCCAAGGCCGTGACGGGAATGAAGGCCAGTCAATGCAAGACAGGCTCTTTTTCACCCGGTCTTCCTTGAAAGCTTGCTAGATCCGCAGCTGTTCATTAGGGGGGTGGAGAAGATCTCGACAGGCCTCGACAAGTCGCACCTCATGAACAACAAGTCTTGCAAGGCGGTGTTGAGGTTCTACAGGCTTCGTCTGCAAGGGTGTCGGGAAGCTTTGGCAGAAGTGGATCAGTGCGGTGATGACTGCCAGGAAGGAGCTTGGCATGACAGGCTTCTGCGCGGTAGGCGCAAGGCGCACTATGCCAAGAGCAAAGCCCTTTATGCAGTGTGAGCGTGACTGGCGCCTCGCCATGAGACGCCGTCTGGATGATCCGACAGTGGCACAGCTCGCAGAGAAAGTTGTCAAGACCGCGTTTGCCCAAGAACATCAGCAGCTCGGGTTGTTTCAGGAGTACTTCGTTCCAGGCGGTCCCGACGGTTCCCGATGAGCCGGGATACTGGTGGATCGAAAAGGGCTCTCAGCACCTCTACTTTCGTGTGAAGGAGCAGTGGGTGATCAGCAATACCAAGCGGCATATAGTTGCGCTTGCCACTTCAGAGGACCTCAAGGAACGAGTAGTGGATACTGGCAGTGTGACTGCGCCAAAACAATTGCTGCGGACGAGAGCTCAGGAGCCCAAAAGCAAACTCGCCTCCGCTTCTGGTGTAGTGCCCAGATTCCGTCGCCATGAAGTGCGTCGTGGACAATCCCACAGTGGCGAAGATCGCAGAAAAAGTGGTGAATCCCGCGGGAACAGGAGGAATGGGGATTACTTCAGGAGTATTTCGTTCCCTTTTCCGATGACAATGAGGTGAGATACTGGTTCAGCGACCGCTGCCGGCAGTTCTTGTACTTCCGCTCAACAGAATGGTTTCTGACCAGCGCTAGGACTCCGAGGGAGCCCATTGCGACCTCAAAGGCGGTGTACATCTTCACCTTCCCACAACAGCTGAAACACCTCTCAGGCTGCTACGAGTACCACAGCCAGCACAAAGACAGCCCTTGCTTCAGGCGCCGGAAGCTGCCGCAGCTCTTCCTGTTGAAGTCCAGCGCTGGACAACGGGTTATAAGAGACGGGTCCTGCC